GTGCCAACTGCCACGTGCAAAACAAAGAGGTGTCAGTTTTTTAATAGTTGCAATATCTCGGTGAGTACTTGGCCGATTGCGCTGAAAGTTGGCATGTCGGTAAGCACCCACTAGGCAATGCATATACATGTGCCAGAGTTGGGGTGCTGCTGCACGTGCGCACGTGCAGGGGTCGTTTCCAGATCTCGAGAACGGCTGGGCCGATTGCGCTCAAATTTGGTACACGGTTGGGGACCGGTTAGTAGGGTGCCGTGCAAAAGTCAGTTTGGACCCCGTTCGCACGTGCGCACGTGCAGAATGCCGCTTCCAGATCTCAGGAACGGCTGGGCCGATCGCGTTCAAATTTGGCACACCGCTAGCGACCGGTTAGAAGTGTGCTTTGCACAAGCCTGTTGGAAGTACCCTCTCGCCCTTCCGCACGTGCAGGGCTCACTATCTCGCTCGCTCGTTCTTCGCCCAAAAGGCGTTTTACTGGTAGTAACATATTTCTGTCGACACAATCTACTACAGCAGCCAATAGAAGACTTAGGACAGGCACATGGGACTACTTAAATATTGTCCGATAGATTAGAAGCAGGCAACAGCTCTGTTAGCGTATATGCTATGCATATTGCGGAAGGGGCACATTTCGGCCTCGAAAGATATGAATTCGTACCTCATAGTAACATATTTCTGTCATGGTCAATTCGCGTAGAAATTGAACACCGGGTGATTACCGAGCTATTGTTCTATCAAAATTTTCCGATTCAAACTCGCTCAGGGTTATCGTGTAGGTAAAGGGGTCCCGCTCAGCAGAATGCGTATGAAATATGGAAAGATTCTGAAAAATGGGTGGGGGCCCGCATACTAGGGGGCCCGCTTTGGAGGCGATGACCCCCCCGAAACCAAATCCTGGCTGCGCCACTGGGTCATGTCATCATTCAGCGCCGCGCCTGCAGCATCGGAAGCGCACTTGGGCTTCTCCGGCCTCACTGCGGCGGGTTTTGGGGCTGGGGGCACTGGTTGGCGCTGCGACTTACCGTGACCCCGGCGTCGTTTCCCCGGTCACAGACTCGGGAAATGTGCCCGTCTCGGCCGCACGTATAGCACCGTGCGCGCCGATGGGGACACGCCGCACGCAGATGCTGCTCACTGCCGCAGGCAAAACATGCGCGCCGGCCGCGCCCCTGGCGGCCCCCGTCCGGCCGGCCCGCGTCCGACCGACCGTCCCGTGCGCGTGCCATCCCCGCTCGCGCCGGTCCCCGCTCCCGAGCGGCGGGCTGAGCCGCCCGCGCGACCTGAAGCTCCAGCTGCTCCAGCCGCTGAAGCACCTTTTCCAGCATTTCGTTCCCACCAGCTTGGCTAACCTGACGCACCGGGGCCCGATCCTGAATCGGGACGCGCTCACTACGAATGATATTGCTTACTTTCTCTACGGCTTTTGGGAAGGTTTCGATACCGGTCGAAATTATCTGCTGCTTATACTCTCGCGGCAGAGCCGTGAGGAAAGAGTGGAAGAGCACCTGATCGCACACACTCCCAGGGAACGCTTCAGCCACTAGCGCACGCAGTCGGATGACAAACGCGTCAAGAGAGGTCGACGGGTCAAACTTTAACTGCTGAAGCTGACTATGAGCATCCAGCGCGCACGGTTTGATGAACAAGTGGCGGAGAGCACTAGCAGCCCGGCTGAACGTGTCCCTCTCCTCCCGTGGGAGGGCCTCAAAAGCATCCTGTGCGAGCCCGGTCAAGCACAGCGGCAGGAAGCGCAGCTTGAACTCATCATCCAAATTGTGAAAAGTGTAGAAAGTGTCCAGATCCGCCAAAAATCTGTCACAGGCTGAGCCACTCTCCCCGGCGAACTTTGGCGCCTCAAACGAAAATCCACCGATCGCCCCGCGGCGCACGTCCCCAGACCCACTCTGCTCCCCGTCCCTGGGATTCATTTTGCCAAAATGACACACCTATCTACACATCACAAACAAAATACATACACTACACAATAGACACAACACAATCGATTAATGCACTTATCTTATAGCCGTCTGTCGATGAAGATCCTCGCCGTCTGCCCATCCATTGGCCCGCCAGGCCGTCAGGCCGTCAGGCAGCCGGCAGAAGCGGCCGCGGCGATCAGCTGACGCACAGCCGGCCGAGCGACGAGCAGCGTCACATGACTGCTGACGTCACAGCAGCTCTGGCCCGAAGCCGGCGGCCGAGGAGCGGCGGCTGCAACTTGAAGGCGACGAAGAAGACTGCGACAGCGGTCGCCACGAGCGACGGCGACGGCGGACGCACTCGGAGGCAACCATGGCCATCACCAACAAACAGCGGCAGAGGCTGCACACTGAGACACCAGACTGCACTGCTTCACCATAGTTCTGGGCGGCACAAGTCACTGACAGTCTCGACTCAGGCACAAAATCATGGCCCAGGCGGGACCAGACACGAAAACTCACAGTTCCGAGAGTCACCGGATGCACTCGCGAAGTAGGCCAGGCCCAGGGCCGAGCGCCGAGCGGACCAGTCGAGAACGTCTTCATCTTCAGTTCGTCCTTGCCTCTTGGTAAGTAGGTAACTTCTTGAATCAAGTCATAATCGAAAGAGCGAAGCTCGTTAAACGCTGCCACCAAATGTAGACATGGCCGTGATAGACTTTATGCAAAACATTAGTCACATTGTATTGGCAAGCAAGACCAGTTCGAAACCAAAGTCAAAGTTCAAGTTCCAATCCCAAGCGTAGCCCCCCGCTCCAGACCGAATCCCCCCGTCAATGACAATGACCTTCAGACGACCTTTCGTCCGAGAAGGTTCCAGGAGAAAACCCAATCGGCGGCTGCCCTGGCGTCGCAGCGCCAGCCAATCAGCAGCCGCCATCACTGCCACAGCCGTCGCCGCAGAGCACGGCAAATAGCCCACGGCGCGTGAGCTGTAGCCGCGGGCGCTCGCAGCGGCAGAGTTCCACTTCCGACTCTGACTCAGTCGGTCTCGGAGCGGCAGTCCATTCATTGGCGGCAGTTCATTCATTGCCAACATATAGCCGCCCGAGCAATAGGCGGCGGCACAGGAGAAGGAGCCCTCCTACACATACATAGGGTAAGGGCGGGTAAGAGTACGCGGGCGATAAGAGTACGCATCAGCTGTTTCGGTTGCTTAGCAACGCGGGTTTGTCGAGTTCATGAAGTGACATGAAGCCGCCAGTGCGTGCTTGTCACCAACGGAACGTGGGCGTTGAGCGGCGACGCTGTTGAGTTTAAGGCGATAAATATTATTTTCGAGCGTTATGATATTATTATGGTATGGTACAATAATTTTGATACTTGGCAGTTGAGATAAGGTACATTTCCGTGATTGTTGTGGGAAACTTGTGAGGTTATCTGGGGAAATACTGTGCAGTGCAATATTCTGTTTGCGAAGTTTTGCACAACGTTTCGGGGTTGTTTTGTGCGCGAATTGCATGTACGGTAAGAGGACGCACTGTTCAGGAGGGTAAGAGTACGCAGAATTATACATTAAATCGAATATACAGAAATATAAGATTATTAATCTATCGCTCAATGACGTTTGTTTTGTAGGTATATCATCAATGGAGCACTGTGATGCAGATGGGTACCCGAAATTCTTCCAAATACGAGTTATTCTGTCTTTTGATTGTGCATTTTTTTTTAAAGAAACACACGACATGATTAGGTATTTCCTGATTTATAGACTTGAAAGATTTATTTTATGTTTTTCTTTTTGGATACTAGAATTAACTTAGATGCCTTCTGAGTTTGAAGTTAAGCATTTGGACAGTACAAGCTGCATAGGCGTGTGTTCATATGCTTGCGTACTCCACCCGCCTGGCGTGCGTACTCTTACACACCCCATATGGTAAGAGTACGCAACTGCAGTGGTTCAGAAAATGTCAGTTTTAGACCGCTTCCATTTACGCTGAAGGATCGTTGCCCCATGGGTTGATGGCTAATTCAATGAACTTTAATATTTCCTATTTGCCATTTCTTTCTTTCAAATATTAAACAAATGAGAGCAAGAAATCCACTAAGTGCGTACTCTTATACGACTTCACCCTACATACATACATACATACTGGGGGGTCACAATATGAAAGTGTCGTGTGGTACATGTTTTATGGTCCTTTTTACATGACAAATGCGATTATGTGGGTCAGGCAGCCTTTGGGGCCAGCTTAGGTCACGTTTTAGTCAAGGTCAGGTCAAGGTCAGGTCAAATTAGGTCAAATTTCAAAGTTGATATTTTTGCATAAAATGGGTATAGAATCGATGCAGCTCGTCACGGGGAGTTTAATGGTGGTCTTTGTTTTGCCGTACGTGGTCTAGAATCGCTAGAAATTGAGCTAAAAAAATTGACGTCATCATTTTTGAACAGTTTTTTTCGCTATAACTTGGCCAAAAAACGAGATATCGATCTGAAATTTGGTATGTATATAAAGAGCACAGCGACTATCACATGTATTCCGTTTTTTTTCTAAATACGGATTTTTTTTGATTTTTTAGTTTTTCTAAAAAAATCAATTTTTTGAATTTTTTGGGGTCACAAACCCAAAATTTTGAAAATCCGAGATAGCCGTTTTGTAGCACCGCTTTTTGTCTATGTACTATACCATATAAAGAACTTTGAAATTGCTTGATAACTGTATATTTGGTGAGCGTTTCAAGATTGCATGTTTTTTGCTCATTTTTGCTCGAACATGACCTCAGTTTGACCTCAATAACTCCTGACCTAAGGTGACCTAAGACTTGAAATTTGGTGTGAAGGTGTCAAATTGATCCCCGGGAAGGTACTGAAAATCCCCCCCCCCCCCCCAACGGGGCGAAGGTTAATGACATAATTTATATAAAAGGCGAATATTGCATATGAAGAGAAAATAAACTCCGTGGATAGATATGGCGAACAAATGGATGTCCGATAGTTTCTTTACACCCCATACTCGGTAGTTTCACTGAGCTAGTGTCAGAGTGTTCCTGCCACATTACAGTGACTACCGATCAATATTCCAGGTGGTGGTATCAGGGGGAATCCAAACACGATCATCCTTCGGGCTGGAGTTCCTCTCAGCGAGCTGACGGAGCTGCGGGGCTCACGGAAGACTGTGAAGCGGCTGTCAGTCACCGCCGCCGACCTCCCGCGACTGAGTGGGCAGCTGCTACCGAAGGGCCTCGTATACCTCAATGTCAGAGGTGAGATACCAGGGATCACACATGCATTGTCGGTATATTCAAATGGACAGCGGAGACGGTAAATGGACAAACTGATAAGTTGTTGAAGGCGAACAATGGCATGTTTGAGTATTATTTTTAGTAAAATAGTATGGAATAATAACCTTAGGCACATTCTTTGAAGGTCTTTTGGTTGGTAATGAATGATTAACCCGCGCCCCACTGGGGTCTGTGTATAACGCGCCCTACTGGCGGGGGGGGGCTATTAATAGCCCCCCTCCTAACTCCGAAACTACTGTGCCGATCGTCAAAATTCAAATTGAATCTGATAGCCCCGGAAAAACTGTTAACCCGCGCCCTGCTGGGGGGGGGGGGTGTTTGAACACTCCCCCCTGTGGTTTTTCGCGAATATCTCAAAAACGGCGGCGCGGAGCGCCGCCGTTTTTGGTACACCTTACCATACATCAATTCTACACATGTTGTGAAAATTTCAGACCAAGGTCATTCAAGGTCAGGTCACCAGGTCACTTGAAGTGACCTCACCTCATAAAAACTTTCAATGTCTGTCATAGCTACACCGAGTGACCGATCGCTTTGAAACTTTCAGCGATTGCTAAGAGCAATAGCATGTACCAAATGTATATCTCAGAATTTTGATATCGATGACCTAAGGTCAGGTCAATTTTGCGACCTCCCCATTATAAGTCAATGGGAGAAAATTGAAATGCGCCTCTTTTGGATGAAAGACATTATAAACACTCCCAAACACCGAATTACAAGTGGTTTAGACACACTGAACTTGAAAATGGTGTCCGTGACCCTTGTTTATGCCCTGAGGTCATCTTAGGTCACGAATGGTATCTAACAGTTTTTCGCAAATAACTTTTGATAGAGGCATGCTAGAGCGATGAAAACGCCTTAGATGTGTTCAGCTCGACGATACGGATCGACTGATATGCAACATGACCCTTTCCGGTCAGGTCATGACCTTGACCTGAGGTCAAATTTTCAAGTTGACCTTTCAAGGTCAAGACATAGTTCATTCGATGCGTCTTGACGAGAGGAACACGATGCCGGTAAAAGTAAGCTCGTACAAGGCTTGGGTCAAAAGTTATTGCAGAAAAACTGTTTTCGAAAAGATCGGCTATTTTTGCAGTTTTTGCCCCCTGCAGGCAAAACCGTTGACGTTCGGTCAAATCTGAGAGAATTACTCAGAAAGGGCGTTAATAGGGCTATCGAATGCGCTTTTCCGCGGCGCTGTAGCTCTATTGGTTCCCGAGTTATGCGTTGGCTTCTTGGAAATTTTCGACATTCGACCTGGAAATCGGCGAAATTTTGCCTTCAATGACCTCTGGTGACCTGACCTTTGACCTGACCAAAAAATTGACTGAAGTGATTTCGTCATTATTTTTTACGCTCTTTCGAACGCCGCCTTCCGCGTATCGCTACGTGGCCCAGGAGCCGAGTTACAAGGGGGGGGGGGTGTTCAAACACCCCCCCCCCAGCAGGGCGTGGAAATCCAGGACCCCCAGCAGGGCGCGGGTTAAGCGAAACCTAATTTCATTGACCTCCAGGTCACCGGTGACGTCACAGGTCAGGTCAAAGTAAAAGTTATCGATGTTTGGCTTGTTCACATTTTGGGCTCTGGCTGCCGTCTTACAAGTCAGATCAGGCTGATATTTGGTTTACACACTCGTGAACAGATGCTTCAGAAACCCTGAGGGTACCAAACTTGTACTTTAATTTTCAGGTCTGGGTCAGGTCATCACAGGTCACGGAAATATTATATCATAAGTCGGTCACGTGACACATGTTTTATGGTCCATTTAGGTAATAGATTTCGAACTCTGTGTCAGCTGTGTCATTTGAGGCCATTTTCATCTGAAAATAGCTGAGGTCAGGTCACTTTCAGGTAAAAAAGGTCAAATTTTAACCCGCGCCGGGCCGGGGGGGGGGGGGTGTTTGAACACCCCCGCCCCCCCTGCGGTTTTTCGCAGATATCTCAAAAAGGACGGCGCGGAGCGCCGCCGTTTTTGGCACACCTGTTAGTGCATCTTTTCCGCACATGTTGTAAAAATTTCAGACCCAGGTCGCCTTAGGTCAGGTCACCAGGTCACGCCAAGTGACCTCACCTCAGAAAAAAGAAGAATGCTCGTCATAGCTACACCGATTGATCGATTGCCTTTAAACTTTCAGCGATTAATTAGAGCAACATTATCTATAAAAAAATTTATCTCGGAATTTTGATATCGGTGGCCTAAGGTCAGGTCAATTTTGCGGCCTCTCCATTATAAAGTCAATGGGAGAAAATTGAAAAGCGTCTGTTTTGCACGAACGCTATTCTAGACACTCTCAAACATCGAGATGTAGGTAAAATTGACACACTGAACCGGAAAATGGCATCTGCGACCCCTCGTTATGTCCCCGAGGTCATCTCAGGTCACGAACAGAATCTAACAGTTTTTCGCTAATAGCTTCTGATAGAGTCGTGCTAGAGCGCTGAAAATGCCTTAGAGGTGTTCGGCTCGACGTTGTGGATTGACTGATATGCAACATGACCTTTTCCGGTCAGGTCATGACCTTGACCTGAGGTCAAATTTTCAAGTTGACCTTTAAAGGTCAAATTATAGTTCATTCGACGCGTCTCGACGAGAGGAACACGACGCTGTCAAAAGTAATGTCATTTAGAGATACAGAATTTTTTTTTTTTAGACATAAAAGGTGTGGAATCAAAAGGGCTACAAAACTGCTATTACGGTTTTTCAATTTTTTTTGTATTTTGACCCCCAAAAATAAAAAAAAAATAATTTTTTTGAATATAATAGCTAAAAAGTCCAAAAAGTTTTTTGAATTTCGAAAAAAAAAACGGAATATATGTGATAGTCCCTACCGCCTTCTATCTACATACCAAATTTGAGATTGATACCTCTTTTTTTTGGCCAAGTTATAGCGAAAAAACTGTTCAAAATTGATGACGTCAAATTTTCAAACTCAATTTTTTAGCAATTCCAGACCTCGTAGCGCAAAACAAAGACCTTCATTAAACTCTCCGTGACGTGCTGCATCGAATCGATACCCATTTTATGCAAAAATATCTACTTTGAAATTTGACCTTTTTTACCTGACCTTGACCTGACCTCCACCAGAAAGTGACCTCAACCGTACCTGATGGTCTTATAACCAACACCATTGAGTTGGAAATGAAAAACTGGCCATAAAACATGCATCACATAACCTTAGTAAAGTTGGGCTCATGTGGTGACCCTTGGTGACCTTTGGTGACCTGACCTGTGACCTGACCTGGTATGACCAGTGACCTCTAATAGCAACATATGTACTAGACAACTGACGCCTTATCGCTGATTTTCGATAAAATGCGTTTTACTCGGTGTTATAGCGCTTTCCCTAGAAGCCCCGTGAACGGTGAAACATTTTATCTTTGACCTGACCTTTGACGTCATCGGTGACCCCGAGGTCAATGAAATTTGGTTTCCCGCGACAAATTTGACAGGGCTATCGAACGCCGTTTGAATTTTCCGGATCCGTCCAGAAGTTTCGGAGATACGGGGGGGGGCAAAAAAATGCCCCCCCACTGCGCGGAAGGTGGCTGGTAGGCCCACCGCCTGCCGGGTTAATAGGGCTATCGAATGCACTTTTCCGCGGCGCTTTAGCTCTATTGGTTCCCGAGTTATGCGTTGGCTTCTTGGAAATGTTCCACATTCGACCTGGAAATCGGCGAAATTTTGCCTTCAATGACCTCTGGTGACCTGACCTTTGACCTGACCAAAAAATTGGCCGAAGTGATTTCGTCATTATTTTTTACGCTCTTTCGAACGCCGCCTTCCGCGTATCGCTACGTGGCCCAGGAGCCGAGTTACACGGGGGGGGGGGGTGTTCAAACACCCCCCCCCCCTCCCAGCAGGGCGTGGAAATCCAGGACCCCCAGCCGGGCGCGGGTTAATCCGCGCCACTTTCGCCTCCTGCAGCACCGAATTTCCGGCTGCAGGACAACGAAGTATGCTACAGTAAGTGACGTCACACAGGCGGTGACGCAGTAGTGTGGACGGGACTAACGGACGACGTAGTCCTCTCTGCGCATGCGTGCTGCAACACATTTCATTTTGGCTGCGCAGCCGAACAGCCCCCAATCTTACAAACGTGGCGCATCACAGAGGTTAACCCTCGCCCTGGCAGGGGGGTCGATGCGACCCCCCTAAGATTTTTCGAAGATAGCGTAAAAACGGCGGCGCACAGCGCCGCCAAGTTTGGCACAGATTACCTATGGGGCAGCCCTTTTACATATGACCTGAAAATATAAGGTCTGGGTGACCTTGGGTCAGGTCACCAGGTCAGAAAAACCAGTACAAGGTCTTAGGTCATGGTCAATTCTCAATTTTATTTTTACACCTGTCCAACTCACAGTTTTGGACTGATTTCCTTCAAACTTTCAGGATGTGCTTAGTTCACCGAGTTGTATAACATACATTTCGGGTTTTTTGAGGTCACTGACCTGCGGTCAGTTAGAGGTCATTACGTCGTAATGTTAAGCCTATGGGAAAATACTAAATTCGGAAAATACTGGAGATATCCGCTTCATTCTATCACTTTTGTGCTTTGAAACCACAGTACTTAGCAGCAGGTCACTTGGTGCTTCTTTGTTTGGTATACTTATCCATAGGTCAGGTCAAATGAGGTCAACTGAGGTCAAATGACGTTTTTGCCAATAACTTGGGAGTTGGGACATTATGACGCTAGAGGTAAAAATTGTGTCATTTTGTTCCTGGTGATCAGCCGAATCGAATGATATGCGATATGATGCAATTTGGTTAACTTGAACTTAATTAATTAAAGTTTACATAATAATTAAGAAAAACTTTAAGTACACTTAACCTTCGCCCCATTTGGGGGGGCATATGTTACCACCCTGTCGCGTTTTTTGCGTGTAAATAAAAAACCGCGGCGCGTAGCGCCGTGCCCCTCGAGGTAGCTTTTTGTACATCAATTTTGGACAATATGTGAAA